AAAACTACAAAACGTCTTAGCGTTTATGACGGTACTCGGGAGTTTGTTCCACTCATCCACAACTCTATTACCAAATTAGTGCTTTCCTATATCCTTCCTGAATCTGATTTTTTCCAGCTTAAAACCATTGCTGCGAGTCCTGTCTATGCTAGATATTTTTAGCACGCTAGTTACATCCCCTTTATTAATTCCTTGTTGTCCATTTATACATCTGAATCATATCCCCCATAATTCTACGTCTTTCTAGAGAGTGCAGATTCAGGGCCCTCAGTCTATCCTCATAGGGAAGATTTCTGATACATGGGATCAACTTTGTCATCCTCCTTTATACGTTTTCCAGAGCATTTATATCCATTCTGTAATACGGTGACCAGAACTGTGCAGTATAATCTAAATGAGACCTAACCAAAGATGTATAGAGTTGTAAAGTAAAAGGACACAAGTGCAACTAATGTGACATTTATTGTGGCAACGTTTCGCTCTCCAGGAGCTTTATCAAGCCATTACAAACAATACATGGACACAGAGGGTATATAAAGGCTCAGAGTGAGGTGTAATACTAGTGAGGTACCATTTCGATGTTCACTAGTGGTAGTAGTAGTAGTAGTGGTAGTGACAAAAGTAATAGCTTTTATATCCTTTTACTCATGTACGAATTAATTGCTCTACCATATTGTTTTACTTTTGTCACTACCACTACTACTACTACTACCACTAGTGAACATCGAAATGGTACCTCACTAGTATTACACCTCACTCTGAGCCTTTATATACCCTCTGTGTCCATGTATTGTTTGTAATGGCTTGATAAAGCTCCTGGAGAGCGAAACGTTGCCACAATAAATGTCACATTAGTTGCACTTGTGTCCTTTTACTTTACATATTGTCGGTAATTCTACCAACTTTATTACAATATATAGAGTTGAAGAACAACCTTAGGACTTCTATTATCTGTACTTCTTGCTAAGAAGCCAAGGATTCTGTTAGCTTTTTTTGTGAACACTAATGCACTGTTGTCTTGGTTTTAGATTACTGCTAACCAGAACTCATAAATCCTTTTCGCAATCCATAATATTAAGGTCTACATTATTTAGTTTATATGGGGCATGGTTATTTTCCTGTCCAACATTTGAAACTTTGCATTTGTCTATATTAAACTGTTTCTGCCACTTCTCTGACCACTGCATCAGTCTACTCAAACCATCCTGGACGGCCTATTTTGGTGTCATCAGCAAAAATTGCTTATGTTGCTATTTATTCCCTTATCTATATCGTTTATGTAAATTGTGAACAAGAAGGGGCCCAACACTGACCCCTGTGGAACACCGCTTGTGATGTGCCCCCATTCTGATTTCTCCGCATTTATGCAAACTCTCTGCTGCCTTTTTGTCAAACATGCCTCAACCCAGGAAATAATTTCCCCTCCCAGTTCGTGTACCTTAAGTTTCCTCAATACCCTCTGATGTGGAACTCTATCGAAAACCTTACTAAAGTCCATATACACAACATTATATTCAGTACCATGATCTACCTCCTCAAATACCTTAGTGAAGAAAGTTAGTAAATTCGTAAGACAGGAACGCCTCTTTGTAAACGCATGCCGAGATTCATTAATCAATTTATGTCCTTCTAGATGGCTACTAATTGCTTCAGCAATTATTGATTCCATAAATTTTCCCACTATGGAGATAAGGCTTATTGGTCTATAGTTCGAAGCCAAGGACCTGTCACCTGCCTTGCAAGTAGGTATTGCATTTGCCATTTTCCATTTATCAGGCACTATGCTAGTTTGTAGTGATATGTAGAAAAGATCAGCCAAAGGTATGCTATGCTCCTCTTTACATATCTTTAACACTCTTGCAAACAGTTCTTCAGGGCCTGGGGATTTGTAAGGTTTAAATTTCTCTATTTGTCTGAGAACCATATTACTAGTTACCGCAATTGTGCATAGTTTATTATCGTCCGGTTCTACATAATATATTATTTCTGGAATGTCGCTAGTATTTTTCTGGGTAAAATCTGAGAGGAATTATTGAAAATTTCACACATATCCTTATCACTGTCAGTGATCTGACTAGAGTTACTCTGAAGTGGGCCTATCTTGTCCACAGTCTTACTTCTGTATACCTGAAAGAACCCTTTTGGGTTAGTCTTCGAATCCCTTGTGACCTTCGCCTCATAATCCTTTTTGCTTTACTTATTCCTTGTTTTATTTCTCTCTTTAACTGAATATATTGATTTCTTAACTGCCCCTCCCCTCTTTTGATACGCCTGTTTATGCCTCTCTTTTGACCAATGAGATGTTATAATCTATTGTTCATCCATTTGGGATCATTTTTGTTAGATCTAATTTCCCTACTCGGAACAAAAGCAGTCTGGGCAGCTAGAACTATGCTCTGAAAAACGTCATATTGGCAACCAAGATCACCTACCTGACCCATAGTCAGGACATCCCAATTTAGCCCACCCAGGTAATTTTTCAGTACCATGAAATCGGCCAAGCAAAAGTCTGGTATAGAGATTTGATTGCAGTTATCTGGGTAATTCCATGATATATTGAAACCAAGTGATTTGTGATCGCTTTCCCCAAGCTCATCATTAACCTCAAGATTATTAATTAGTGAATCTTTGTTGGCAAAAACCAAGTAAAGCAGGTTGTTTCTTCTAGTTGGTTCTGTCACAAGCTGTTTTAAAAATCAATCCTGAACCGTATCAAGAATGCCACGAGACTCAAGATTTCCTGTCACATTGTTCCAATCAATTTGTCTAAAGTTAAAATGTCCTATTAACGCAGCATTTTCATATCTAGATGCCTTATGAATTTCGTCCCATAGCAGCTTACTGTCCTCCCTATCAAGGTTTGGGGGTCTATAAATCACACCCAAAATTAACTGTAGCCAAACAGATTCTGTGTCCGATGTCTTACACAACAATTTAAATTATCTCTGACATACATTGCCACTCCACTACCCTTCCTGTTGACCCTGTCAGTATGGAATAGTTTAAAACCCTGTATCTTGCATTCAGAAGGCATTTCTCTATCTTTCAAGTTGAACCAGGTCTCTGTTATAGCAATAATATCTATATTACCTGCACTTGCAAGTAATCTTAGCTCATCTATCTTATTTCTTAGATTCCTACTATTTGTATAGTAAACCTTAAGGGAGCTAGTCACTCGTTGCCCTCTACTATCTCTCTTTGTTTGTTGATCAATTGCTTTGCCTTTACTAGCAACTTTATTTTGAATATTGTCTTTTAAACACATCCCTGAGGTATCCTGGTTATATCTCCGGGTTTCAACCCTAGTGCTGCAGCCTGATTGTTTCCCATGGACACCCATACATCTATAATCTGTCAGTTTAAAGTCCTAGACATGTCACAAATAACCCCCTCAATCGAACTGGCTAAGGCAACCACTCCAGCCCCAAAGAGACGAATCCTATCCTTGCATACATATCACGTTTTCCATAGAATACGTCCCAGTTATCAATGTATGGGATTGCAAGTTCCTTGCAATACCTGTCTATCAAGCAATTTATACCAATTGCCCTAGACATCCATTCATTGCCCACTCCCCTTCTAGCCAAGATGCTACATATGACTGGGATCCCTCCCTTAGACCTGACCACATCTATGGTTGACCTATACTTATCCAGCAGCTTCTGTCTCCTACCATTCTCGATATCATTTCCACCAGCACTAAGACAGATAATGGGCTTGTTCCCATTGTCTGACATATTATTATCCAACCTGCTGACTATGTTACCAACACCAGCTCCTAGGAGGCACACCTTCTCTCTGACCTTTCTATCTCCGTTACCAAAAGCATGATCCATATATCTTACCTGTGAATCTCCCACAATTAGAATATTCTTACCTTGACAAGCAGGGGAATCAATGGTGCCTTTAATCTCACTAACCACTGAAGTACACTCGTGCTGGAGAACAGAGAATCGATTTCCTACCATCACATCTTCTCTATTAACCTTCCTTATCATCCTTCTTCCTGAATTGTGAACCACTTGCCACTTAGAGCGGCTGCCACTCTTCAAATCACTGCTGGTAACTTTTTCCTCCTCACCAGCTACAACCATCTCACACTCACTCCCAAACCCATCTAGACGAAGCTTCAGCCTCCTATTTTCCTCCTGAAGAAGTAGAATATCTTTCTTCAATACTTTAACGTGAGATTCTAAAACACTACAACAAACCATGGTGCTAGGTAACACCCCACGCTAATCCCAGACAGCTTGGGACAGGTATGAACACACGTGACCACTGACCTCAGGGGCGTTTCACTTCCTACATAATAATAATAATAATAATAATAATAATAATAATAATAATAATAATAATAATAATAATAATAATAATAATAATAATAATAATATTAGCTTAATTTACTACAAGTACATATACAAGGTACACAGGCTTAAATGACATCAGTGACATACTACTATATAGAAAGCTGTTTGTTATGCTGAGCATTTCGGGCAAATTAGGTCAGTTTTGTCCCAGGATGCGACCCTCACCAGTCCACTAACACCCAGGTACCATTTTTACACTGATGGATGAACAGGAACATCATGTGTCTTATGGAGACACATCCCTAATGTTTTCCAGCCGTACCGGAGTTTCGAACTCCGGACCTCAGTGTGTGAGGTGAGTGCATCAGTGATGGAGGGATGTGTGACCACTGTCAGGTTGGTGTCTTCACAGACACAACAATGTTAGTCAAGAGAGTAAAGTCAGAATACTTCAACTATCGTTAAATATTTTCTTCTTCCAATTAGAATATGTGACATAATATTCTTGAAGAACTGTTTAGCAGTTACTTTATAACGGAGAATAAGTTTTTAATGACTCATTATATTAAGTGTTGTTAATTTTGATAGAATATTATATACAAGTAAACAATACATAAAATTATATGTTTTCCAATAGTTAAAAATCCTCATGTTATATCTCCATTTCGACTTAAAATTATAATGAAGATGTTTATATTACATAAGAACACTTATATTTATCTAAGTTGCAGATCAAAGTATTTTTGATGTCCATTGTCTTCTATAATTACAATCATTTTAATATGAAATACATTATCAAAATTAGACAATGTAAACTTACCATCCTGAGATGTAACATTCCAGCAACTTGTGGAGGGACCATAACCAACATCTGTAACAGCTGCAACTTGTGCTGTGACGTTGGTATAGGGAGGAATGCCGAGCAGTGTGATGTAGTCACCCGTGATGGTGGTGTTAGTGATATCTGAACCAACGTCATCACTCCACAAGACGTCCCATGACAAGCTGATGTTGTGGCTGATAATTGGACAGGCAAAATCTACGTCTTGCCAGTACAACGTCATAGTTGTGCTTGTGATGTTATCAAACCAGCAACTTTGTGGTGGCGGCGGCACTGAGGAAAAGCGTTATAACGAGTGAAAAAAAATAATGTGCCGCTTTATGATAAAAAGAAAATTTAAATTGATGCTTCCATTGAAGTTAAGACTGTGAGAAGCTGCAAGAAATGTCTCATAATACAGGATGGTAATATGCCAGGATATAATTAGTGTAAAATAATGAATAAAATATATAATTAGTGAATGGCACTGTCACATAATATAGTCACGATGTTATTACAAACATGTAGAGTAATACCAGTGTAGGTAAACAACACCAAACATAAACACTATAATAATATAACAATATCATTATTTATTACAAGTACATGCACATGGTATACAGACCAGCTGACATCAGTGACATATTTCTATATGACGAGTATACAGGGAAAGAACAATGTAAACACAATGAAGGGTAAACAACATGGTAGGCGACAAACATGGAAGGTAAACAACATGGTAGGCGAAAATCATGGAAGGTAAACAACATGGTAGGCGACAAACATGGAAGGTAAACAACATGGTAGGCGAAAATCATTGAAGGTAAACAACATGGTAGGCGAAAATCATTGAAGGTAAACAACATGGTAGGCGATAATCATGGAAGGTAAACAACATGGAAGGTAAACAACATGAAAGGTTAACAACATGAAAGATGAACAACATAGAAGATGAACAACATAGAAGATGAACAACAGAAAGACCAACATAGCAAAAAAACACAATGGAATTTAAAGCCAAATGAAATTAAATGCTGCAAAGGTTTTTACATGTTACAAATTTTTACATGGAAGGTAAAAAATTAAAGAGAAAAAAGGTAAACAGTAGAGTAGGTGAATACAATCGCAGGTAAACTTCATGGCAGGTTCACAAAATGGAAGGTAAACACTATGGTAGACAACATGGAAGGTAAACACTATGGTAGACAACATGGAAGGCAAACACTATGGTAGACAACATGGAAGGCAAACACTATGGTAGACAACATGGAAGGCAAACACTATGGTAGACAACATGGAAGGCAAACACTATGGTAGACAACATGGAAGGCAAACACTTATGGTAGACAACATGGAAGGCAAACACTATGGTAGACAACATGGAAGGCAAACACTATGGTAGACAACATGGATGGTGAACACTATGGTAGACAACATGGAAGGCAAACACTATGGTAGACAACATGGAAGGCAAACACTATGGTAGGACAACATGGAAGGCAAACACTATGGTAGACAACATGGAAGGTGAACACTATGGTAGACAACATGGAAGGCAAACACTATGGTAGACAACATGGAAGGTGAACACTATGGTAGACAACATGGAAGGCAACACTATGGTAGACAACATGGAAGGTGAACACTATGGTAGACAACATGGAAGGCAAACACTATGGTAGACAACATGGAAGGCAAACACTATGGTAGACAACATGGAAGGCAAACACTATGGTAGACAACATGGAAGGCAAACACTATGGTAGACAACATGGAAGGCAAAACACTATGGTAGACAACATGGAAGGCAAACACTATGGTAGACAACATGGAAGGCAAACACTATGGTAGACAACATGGAAGGTGAACACTATGGTAGACAACATGGAAGGCAAAACACTATGGTAGACAACATGGAAGGCAAACACTATGGTAGACAACATGGAAGGCAAACACTATGGTAGACAACATGGAAGGTGAACACTATGGTAGACAACATGGAAGGCAAACACTATGGTAGACAACATGGAAGGTGAAACACTATGGTAGACAACATGGAAGGCAAACACTATGGTAGACAACATGGAAGGTGAACACTATGGTAGACAACATGGAAGGCAAACACTATGGTAGACAACATGGAAGGCAAACACTATGGTAGACAACATGGAAGGCAAACACTATGGTAGACAACATGGAAGGCAAACACTATGGTAGACAACATGGAAGGCAAAACACTATGGTAGACAACATGGAAGGCAAACACTATGGTAGACAACATGGAAGGTGAACACTATGGTAGACAACATGGAAGGCAAACACTATGGTAGACAACATGGAAGGTGAACACTATGGTAGACAACATGGAAGGCAAACACTATGGTAGACAACATAGAAGGTAAACACTATGATAGACAACATGGAAGGTGAACACTATGATAGACAACATGGAAGGTGAACACTATGATAGACAACATGGAAGGTGAACACTATGGTAGACAACATGGAAGGTGAACACTATGGTAGACAACATGGAAGGTGAACACTATGGTAGACAACATGGAAGGTGAACACTATGATAGACAACATGGAAGGTAAACACTATGATAGACAACATGGAGGGTAAACACTATGATAGACAACATGGAGGGTAAACACTATGATAGACAACATGGAAGGTGAACACTATGGTAGACAACATGGAAGGTGAACACTATGGTAGACAACATGGATGGTAAACACTATGATAGACAACATGGAGGGTAAAACACTATGATAGACAACATGGAAAGGTGAACACTATGGTAGACAACATGGAAGGTGAACACTATGGTAGACAACATGGAAGGTGAACACTATGGTAGACAACATGGAAGGTGAACACAATGGTAGACAACATGGAGGGTAAACACTACGATAGACAACATGGAGGGTAAACACTATGATAGACAACATGGAAGGTGAACACTATGGTAGACAACATGGAGGGTAAACACTATGATAGACAACATGGAAGGTGAACACTATGGTAGACAACATGGAAGGTGAACACTATGATAGACAACATGGAAGGTGAACACCATGGTAGACAACATAGAAGGTAAACACTATGATAGACAACATGGAAGGTGAACACTATGATAGACAACATGGATGGTGAACACTATGGTAGACAACATGGAAGGTGAACACTATGGTAGACAACATGGAAGGTGAACACTATGATAGACAACATGGAAGGTAAACACTATGATAGACAACATGGAAGGTGAACACTATGGTAGACAACATGGAGGGTAAACACTATGATAGACAACATGGAAGGTGAACACTATGGTAGACAACATGGAGGGTAAACACTATGATAGACAACATAGAAGGTTAACACTATGGTAGACAACATGGAAGGTAAACACTATGATAGACAAACATGGAAGGTGAAACACTATGATAGACAACATGGAGGTGAACACTATGATAGACAACATGGAAGGTGAACACTATGGTAGACAACATGGAAGGTGAACACTATAATAGACAACATGGAAGGTGAACACTATGATAGACAACATGGAAGGTAAACACTATGATAGACAACATGGAAGGTGAACACTATGATAGACAACATGGAAGGTAAACACTATGATAGACAACATGGAAGGTAAACACTATGATAGACAACATGGAAGGTAAACACTATGATAGACAACATGGAAGGTGAACACTATGGTAGACAACATGGAAGGTAAGCACTATGATAGACAACATGGAAGGTGAACACTATGATAGACAACATGGAAGGTGAACACTATGATAGACAACATGGAAGGTGAACACTATGGTAGACAACATGGAGAGTAAACACTATGATAGACAACATGGAAGGTGAACACTATGGTAGACAACATGGAGGGTAAACACTATGATAGACAACATGGAAGGTGAACACTATGGTAGACAACATGGAAGGTAAACACTATGATAGACAACATGGAAGGTGAACACTATGGTAGACAACATGGAGGGTAAACACTATAATAGAAAACATGGAAGGTGAACACTATGGTAGACAACATGGAGGGTAAACACTATGATAGACAACATGGAAGGTGAACACTATGGTAGACAACATGGAGGGTAAACACTATAATAGAAAACATGGAAGGTGAACACTATGGTAGACAACATGGAGGGTAAACACTATGATAGACAACATGGAAGGTGAACACTATGGTAGACAACATAGGGTAAACACTATGATAGACAACATGGAAGGTGAACACTATGGTAGACAACATGGAAGGTAAACACTATGATAGACAACATGGAAGGTGAACACTATGGTAGACAACATGGAGGGTAAACACTATGATAGACAACATGGAAGGTGAACACTATGGTAGACAACATGGAAGGTAAGCACTATGATAGACAACATGGAAGGTGAACACTATGGTAGACAACATGGAGGGTAAACACTATGATAGACAACATAGAAGGTGAACACTATGGTAGACAACATGGAGGGTAAACACTATGATAGACAACATGGAAGGTGAACACCAAAGAGGGGAAAACAGCGTAGAAGATAAGCAACAAAATGTGACCATTTTAAGCAAACAAGATGATAGGTAAACAATTAGAGAAGTAAACATCAAGTATGGTAAATAACTTAGTTGCAAGAGACAGAGCAAACACTGTACCTAAGATATTACCTGAGTCCAGTGTTCTACCGCTGTCATAGGTCAGGTATGACTCGCCCTCGTACACAGATACCGAAAATATATCATACGATGTACAAGGTTGTAAATTATTAAAGACGACTAAGGTTCGTTGTGTTTCTTGGTGTCTATTATCAATATTCACGATGTAGTAGGGAGGAGGTTTATCAGGTGCATACCATGACACAGTGAGACTTGTCACACCTGCAGTCACTGTCACGTTCTGTGGTGGCCCACGACCTGAGACACACAATATTTTAAACAAGTTAGTTTTTTATAGTATTAATGTTAAAATAATGATAAAACATGTGAAATCAGAGACACAGTTAATGATAATCTAATTAAATGTACTCCATTAATGTTCAGAGTTTATTTTATTTATAAAAAAATATAATATCCTTTAACTAAATAAAAAAAAAAAAACTGAAATGCAGCACTTTTGTGATTATTCCTGTTAAAAACTGTCTTCATGATTTAGTAGAAACCATATTAACATGAAAAGCAAAAATGGTTCAATGGGACCTCTTAATTACTCATGCTGTATATATATATATATATATATATATATATATATATTATATATATATATTATATATATTATATATATACATATATATATATTATATATATATATACCTCTGGTGTAAATTGTGGGATCCATAGCCTCGGAGAAGTGGATAAAAAGGCTTCAAGGATGAATATTTGGATTTCTTCCTGAAGCCGTTTGAATATTCCACTTCCCCTACCACCACATCTTTTCATATTTTTTTTTTACCAATAGGAATATTTTATTACATAATATGTTACAAAAGATTTAAGAGATACATTGTTGATATAAAGGTGGCATATACGGTACATGTTGTTACGTGTGTATCACCGATTATAAGGCGAAAATCTCATCCAGCTCCTCAGAGCTGGGGCGTGTGCCCAAAATACAACAGGCATTATCCCTTTGAACAGCCGGACTGAGCCGCTGGAACAGAAAGCTAGCTGCCCTGGGATCCCTAGTTACCCTGATGAGTCTTTTTCCCAGCTCCTTAAGGAATTTAGATGCATTCTTTCCCCATGAGCCAAGGGTCTCTGAGCCTATGGGAACAAACATAATGATGGGCAAGTTCTCCATATTTTCTACACTTTTGGGACTCCCTGAACCTGGCAGCTGCCCCTTCTTCCTCCCTGGTGTATTGGAGATAGGTATCAGCCAAGGTAGATGCACATGTATAGTCCCACACCACCTGCTTCCCATCTGTCCAGGCTTGAAGGGTGATACCATCTGGACGCTTCTGGCTGCCATCAGATCTGCATAGCTGAGGTGGCTCCCTTACTGCTGGGCATCCGGCTGATGTGAGGCTCCTCTTGATAATGTTATTAACCTCCTCATGTCTTGCACTCTTTCCCTCGGATTTACGGCACACAAGACCGTGGTACACGAATCGGTCTGCTGCTTCACTGCCACAAATACACCTGTGTTCGGCGAGGATAGGGGCGTCAAGTCGAAGAGCAACACCGATGCGGATGGTCTGTGGGTCGAGGCGTGTGCCAAGGCTGGAGTTGGGAACAGCCAGCAGAAAATCCCCTGCATGAGGGGCTCTCACTGCCAGGAGGCGGGCTCTATCCTTCCCTGACACACTCTGAAGCATTGTTGAGGCTATATTTTCCACTATTGGACTATCCCAGTGCGATTGTTTGTAGTTGTTGGGGGGAGCAGGAATGGTTTCAGAGCCCGCTAGATTATCCCAGATCATGGCTCCGTCAATGAACTTTTGGTCCTAGACTCCAATCTTGTCCCTAAGATGTTCAGGGAGAAGCACTGCTGCAAGCCCTCTGGATGCAGTACATGAGGATAGAAAAGCAGGTAGCGCAATCTGTGATGACTTGCGGACACCAATGCCTCCTAGTCTGACTGGAAGTGTAGCTTGTTTCCATTGCCTGTCTTCTAGAGTAAGGTTAAGTACTTTCGTTAAAATCTGCCTCAGGATACTGTCATATTCGTGCAGTATAGGGTTATCATATGAAGGTGCACATCTTAGGAAATATATATATATATATATATATATATATATATATATATATATATATATATATATATACATACATATATATATATATATATATATATATATATATATATATATATATATATATATATATATTTATATATATAATATATATATATAATAATATTATATATATATATATATATATATATATATATATATATATATATATATATATATATATATATATATATATATATATATATATATATTATATATATATATATGCAATAAGATCACAGTAAACAGGTGATTTCAGAATATGCAAAACAACCACTCTGAAAGAATAGAGAAATTCCAAGCGCTTTCGACAATAATATGAATATTTCCTTTGGTTTATATAAATTAGATCCATTTATAATTAATAGAATTTGGGAAGAATTTAATAATACACTGGACAAATAATAATTTTTAAATTTTCTTGGGTAGAATAGTTTGTTGGTGAGTTGTGCAAAGGACCTGTCCAGTTGGGCCGGCGCGCATCAGGTGTTTAAACCGTTGTGGGATCTGATAGTGAGGTGTTGGCCAAACCCTTATATAGCTTTCTTGGATGCTTTACTTTCATAGTTCCTTGATAATGTGAGTAGTCACGAAAGCGCTTGGAATTTCTCTATTCTTTCAGAGTGGTTGTTTTGTATAATATATATATATATATATATTATATATATATATATATATATATATATATATATATATATATATATTATATATATGATATTATATATATATATATATATATATATAATATAAATATATATATATGATATATATATATATAAAATTGTAACCATGGTATTGACCAATATATTATATATATATATATATATATATATATATATATATATATATTAATATATATATATATATATATATATATATATATATATAATATATATATATATATTATATATATATATATAATTGTAACCATGGTATTGACCAATAAACAAACACTGCAACTAGCAGAGTATTCGAACCCATTTTCTTTTGGCCCACCTCATGGTAAGCGGAAACCACATGATGCTCTAACCTACAGGACTACCAAATCCTACAAGAAACAAGCACCCAACAGAGCTAGGTGTGTTACCTTGATCTGAGGACATATATATACCACAAACGAGTGATATTAATTAAAAATGATACTGTGACTAGCCATGGATTCAAACCCATGTTGTTTTGGCCCGTCTCAAGGTGAGGACTCACTCCACCGCATGTCCTTGGATCACAGTAAAACACCTACCTCTGCTGGGTGTTTTGTTCTTGTAGGATTTGGTGGTCCTGTGGGTTAGAGTGTCACGTGGTTTCAGCTCACCATAGGGTGGGCCAAAACAACATGGGTTCGAATCCTTGGCTAGTTGGACTGTTATTGATCAATACCACTTATTTGTGGTTATAATAATATAAAATATTGCTCGTTGAGGCTAGTACACCAAACGGGGAGTAGAATTAAATTGTCTCAGAGGCACCCACACTACAGTATGACTTCGGATCAAGGTAACACACCTAGCTCTGCTGGGTGCTTGGTTCTTGTAGGATTTGATGGTCCTGTGGGTTAGAGCATCATGTGGTTTTCGCTCACCATGGGGCGGGCGAAAACAACATGGGTTCGAAACCTTGGCTAGTCACAGTGTTGGTATATATATATATATATATATATATATATATTATATATATATATATATATATATATATATATATATATATATATTATATATATATATATATATATATATATGTCGTTGCCGAATATGTAAAACTGGTCAATTAGCAAGAATTCATTTAAAATTAAGGCCTTTCTGAAATTTTCCCTTATACTTTTAAAAATACATTTTTTTCATTAATGTTGATGTAAAAAATTATAATTTTGCACCAAAAGAATCTTAGAAAACTTACCTAACCTTATTATAACAAGAGCAATTTATTTTAGCCTAACCCAACTAAATATATTTTAGATTTGTTTACAATAATTTAACACTAAACAAACACAGTGAAATATATTTTTTTCGTTAGGTTCAGAATTATTTCAGCAAAATTATTGCATACACAAATTTTCGCTTGTCCTATATGGCAAGATGAGCGTTGCTATTTAAGCAAAGATCGCAAGTTCTGCCTATTCGGCACGACACACACACACACACACACACACAGAGTAGAGACACCGAGCGCGTGAGTCACGCCTTCCGTGCTCCGCGAATATAAGTGTTTTTGAGGGTTACCCAAGTGTTCTGCAAGGGTTGCAAAGTGTGTTGGGGTAGTGAACAATCCTGGAAGCGATTTACAATCTGCCTGAGCCACATAAGTGTGGGGAGAGCCACAATTTTGTAAGTGATCTAGAAAGTAAAACATGGTGGCGCAGTCAGAGCAGGCAGGGTAGTGTGGGTGGTAAGGCGACGTTGTCACGTGTCACCCAAGAAAGATAATAAAGTGAAACAATCGTGTGACCAGAGAGAGAAATACAGTGAATAGGGTACATTATTAACGAGAAGAAATTGAGGTGGATCTACGGCAGGACGTCACATCGAGCTGGACAATCTACAGGCTGCTACAGCTGCATTGCAAGTACTGTACTCACCTATGAGTGGTTGAGTGGGTGTGGGGTTCCAGGTTCCAATTAACTGCCATGCTGATTGTGAATGGTCTCTCATAGCACGATAAAGAATAGGCACTCAAGTATTCAATAAAGAATAGCAATTGGTAATTCATTGAACAAGGCAAGTAACTTACTATAAGCTAGGTGGCAGGACAAGCATTTAAGGGCAAAATTGTAAGTAGGTGTGGGTCAAGTCCCAGGAGGGTGGGGGTCAGGTCACAAGAGGTTGTGGTCACAAGCGACCACTGAGACTCCACATTACACTCCAATGCACAAGCACCTACTTTTCAGACACATAATAAACCCACACATAATTCCACACATAATTACACACACACACACACACACACACACACACACACACACACAACACACACACCACACATATATATCCAGATTCACAAATACACTCCCCCCTCCCCACCGACATCTCACTCCTTCCCCTGATCCCACCCCTCCCTCTTTCACCCTCCCCCTCCCCACCTCTCCCCTCCTTCCCCCTCTCCCTCTCCCACTCACCCACTTGCTTCTCCCTCCTTCCCACTCCCCATATTCCCCCCTAAATCCCCTTCCCCACTCCTCCCCAACATAGC